AGTTTTCTCTGTGCTTACTTCTAGACCAACCTCCTTACTGGCGTCAATTACAATTTGTGTTTTTTTCTTTATGCTACCTCTATTATTACCCAGTAGATTCACATAATCGGCATAGACCAACAGCTGATGTGTCCCATTTAATTTCAGTCCCACCTGGTTTCCCTGGACCTTCCTAATTGCATATTCTAAAGCAAAGTTGAAAAGGAGTGGCGATAAAGCATCTCCTTGTTTTAGAACATTCTGTATATGAAATTTATCAGACAAATGTTTACTTATACGGACTTTACTATACGTTTCGTTTAAACACATTTTAATCAAACGTCTATTTATTCACAGTCCGTCAGTAATGCAACAATTGTTTATTCACCATTTAACATTTAACACAACATGTTTCAGCCATAGATGGTCATTTTCGGGTGTTTCAATGCGTCCAACTGTTACACTGCTCTGATGTGCGCTGAAACCGCGCATTGCAGTCCACTAAAAATAACATAAATAATTACTTAAAATCCATTAGAATTTTCTATTAAAATTATTTTTCTTGAAATCCAATTCCACCTCATAAGGGGTGTCGTCCACTTGTTTAGAGCTGTGTGTTTATTCCAGAAGGTTCGTTTCTGCAGCTTGTTCTTCTATTTGTTAGCCCGTTGTTTTGTTACGTCTGCAATCTGCAATATGACTCTTGCTTGTGTGTTGTTCTCTCTAGCAGCGTGTGGTGCTGTCTTCACTTTCTGGAATAAACACATAACTCTAAACAAGTGGATGACGCCCCTTATGAGGTGGAATTGGATTTTACGAAAAATAATTTTAATAGAAAATTCTAATGGATTTTAAGTAATTATTTATGTTATTTTTAAGTGAACTGCAACGCCCAGTTTAGCGCAAAACAGAGCAGTGTAACAGTTGGACGTGTTAAACACCTGAAGATGGGCATCTATGGCCGAAAAATGTCGTGTTAAGTGTTAAATGGTTAATAAAAAAAGTTGAATAATTGAAGGACTGTGAATACATAGACGTTTGGTTAAAGATTTGCAACAGGATGCTGAAATACAGAATCACATTTTAATCAGCCTAACTAGTTTCATGGGTATCCCAAACTCTATCAGAATATCGTACAATACTTCCCTCCAAACTGAATCCTAGGTTTGCTTGAAGTCTATGAATACCTGATGTACTGTCTAATCGTACTCCCATTTTTTCTCCAGTATCTGACGACTGAAAACGATCTGATCTGTAGTTGATCTGTTACGTCAAAATCCACACTGATGGTACCCAATAAAGTCATCCATATAGGGACTTAACTTTGAGAGAAGAATATTGAATAAAATTATGTATGAAGTTGATAGCAGTTATTTTTTTTTTCGCTTGGTGCTACAGCCCCAGTGGGCCTAGGCCTACCTCCATGAACTCCGTTCACTTCGGGTTTTCTCGATCTTACACATATGGTAGGACTCCTTGGGTGAGTGATCAGCTCGTCGCAAGGCCTCTACCTGTGGACAAACACAGAAAAACGCACACAAACATCCATGCCTTGAGTGGGATTTGAACCCACGATCCCGGCTTCCGAGCGAGCGAAGACAGTGCATGCCTTAGACCACTCGGCTACCGTGACTGGCTGATAGCAGTTATATCCCCTGATAATTACTACAGTCAGTTTTATGAACCTTCTTGTGAAGTGGTATAATAATAGACTCCTTCCACTGATCAGATAATTTTTCCTTATGCCAAATAGAAGTAATTAGCTTATGGATCTTAGAACGTAATATTTCGCCTCCTGCTTGAATAAGTTTTGCTGGAATTTGATCATTACCTGGCGATTTATACCATTTTAATCTTGAAATATCACTTTCAACCTCAAAAGGGCTAGGATCAGGTACTAATGGCTCAGCTATATGGATTTCTGTCTGCCTAACAGCACTGACCCTATGTACATTCAATAACTGAAAGTAGTTCTCCCACCTATTCAAAATGTGGTGGGAATCTGCAAGCAGATCACCATTCTCATTCCTCACTAAGTTACTTCTAGGTTGGTAACCCCTCTTAAAGTCATTTATTCCTCTATACATGTCTCTAATATTCTTGTTCTTACTGTTCATTGCAAGCTCATCAATTTTGTCTTTCAGATATTCTCTCTTTTTATTCCTGAAATGCCGGCAGTTTTCTCGTCTTACATTGTTCAGATTATCCCCATTTATTTCGCATGGATCCTGTATCCATTGCAGTTTGGCTTGTTTTCTTTGGTCTGATAATTTTGAGCATCCTTCATCAAACCAAGGCTTATTCTTTTTCAGTTCACAATAACCTAGACTCTCCTTGGCAGAAATTTTAATATTCTCTCTAATAGTTTCCCAAGCTTTATTAACATCGACCTCAGTGTCTAAGTTTTCCAAAACCGGGAACCTATTTGAGATTTCAACACAATACTGCTCTTTACCCACTTACTTACTTTCTTATGGCCTTGTCACTTCATGCCTCTTCGGTCCAAATATTTTCCTCAACACCCTGTTCCCAAACACCCTCAGTCTGTGTTCCTCCCTTAATGTCAGAGGCCAAGTTTCACATCCATACCGAACCACAGGCAAAATTTTAGCTTTGTATATTCTAATTTTTATGTTACCTCATTTAATTTCTTGAGATTGAACCTCTCCATATGAACTCTGTGTGTTGTTTGTTTGCTCCTTGCCAGTCTTTTCCTAACCTTTGCCACCGTCAGGTAGTGGTCAGCATCACAATCTGCTGCCCTGAATGATCAGACATCAAGTATACTTGAATGCCGTCTCCTGTCTATCACAATATGGTCTATTTGATTGTGTATCTTCCCATCAGGAGATGTCCAAGAAAATTTATGGATGTTACGATGCGGGAACATTGTACTTTTAACAGTAAGATTTTCGATGTGCCAAAGTTTACTACTCTAACTCCATTATCATTACTGATTTCATGCAAACTCTCATTCTCAATCATTGGTTTGAAAATGTCCTCCCTCCCTACTTTGGCATTGAAATCTCCTAACAAAATTTTCATAGTGCATTTCGGGAATTTATCAAATAAATGTTCTACTTATTCATAAAACCTGTCCTTTATGTCATCAATTTTATCTTCAATTGGGGCGTGGACGTTTATAACGATGATATCACACCAGCGACATTTTTGTATTATATATGATATCCTATCACTAACGATCTCTACCCTCTTAACTGCTGATACGATTCTCTTATGTACGAAAAAACCTGTGCCTAATTCATGATTTTCATTCCCTTTCCATAGAAAGATGTATATTCGCCTTTTGGTTTGATTGTAACATAATCAAACAAACTTAAATCCGTATACTAAAAAACAATGTATGTGTTTTGGCTATATCAGTAATACTTTACTTTCTATAGAATATTGAAAGTGTCTATTTCATTTATAGTAACCCTGTAAACTTTCAGCCTTATTCATATTACGTGCTTGTCACTGTCGCAGTGATCACACAGTCTTACTTAGTCGCGCACAAATAAAAAAGATATCAACACGTGCTTTTCTCAAGCTGTGAAACGGAAACATTCAACACTTGCAGCAGAATGGAGGAGTCATGTATTTGAACAAGGGGGTGGAGCTGCGAATAAGTCCGGAAATGTAGAGGCCAGCATCCGACGGCCCCACTTGAAAAGTAATGCGCTTCCAAGATGATTGCAGGATAACCGCCGAGCGCCATAAACAAGTTGAAAGGAACTTCCTTGGACAAATGAACTGAGGCAAGGCCCTCCATGGACTTCTAACAACCCGAGCGACACATCTGCAGAATTTTAAGAACAGTGTTATACTATACCGAATGTAAACAAATTATAAATCCTTTAAGGTAACATTTTCAGTACTTCTATGCTTTAAATGTACGTGGTGTCCTCCTGCTCCAGCCCGTATGGATGGCCGCCCCTACCTGCAACGCATGAAAATTTGTCAAATACACATGATGGCATGTCGCAGAATTTCACCTCACGAACACGGAGTATTAAACTATACATGAAGGTATAAAGGGTGGGCCTTCTCGGCCCTTGCACCGTGACCTACAGTGATCTATTGTGCTTAAACTGTACATGACCATACCTATGTGTCTCGCTTATAAATCCTTGCCTTGTAGGAATGCAGGCATATGGAAAGTGAACAGCCCATGCTGAATAAAACTGTAGATGATGAATGTGTGTGCCCATCTACACATATCTGTGGCATATCTGATACCCAGTGGTGGCACACTGATTGCAGAACACTGATGTAGCTGAACAACTTTTATTTTCCCAAGGAGATCTCCACTCCATGTTATTTGTTAGTAAAACAACAACCTGGGCATCTTATGATGTTTTGTAAGATTTGAGATTCTAACAGTGAAGACTGTCTTGTCTACACAGGTTTTTGGAGGAACGTACTGCCTCCATCTTCGGGGTTAAAGGTAAGCCGAGAAAGTAAGCCGTGCGTGGATCTTGCTTGTATAGCTTTCCTGTTGAACCTGAAGGTAAGGGCAGTACTTCCATCCAAAATGTAGGTAATATTCTACCAGAGTACATAGCATCCTGGATGGTGGTATTGTTCATGAAATTTTTTTGTTTAACTTTTTGTTTGATGACGGTAACAAACGAGCCATTATAACTACGTATATGAAATTTAGTATGGAGATAAAACATGAACACGTACATTCTCTGCAAAATTTTTTCATACACTAAATGTTACAAACATATGCTACTGTGCAAATTTTGATGTTCTGTGTCTAAAACATGACGTACTTAGAATCGGTACCAGTGGAAATTATGCATGAAAATGGATCATTAAATTATATAGTTACATTCACTTATATTTCTTGCTAGTCACAAGTTTAAAGCATTTGAAGAATAGTAAGCATTGTAACGTTCTTCCCAGAGCCTCTAGAGTTAGGCAACTTGCACTGAAAATGAAATACTAGCGTAGAAATTTCTCATGCTGTCAAGTGTTAATATTGAGTTAAATTTTACTCTTATTCCTGCATTTAGTTGCTGATTGGGTATGAGACCGGTCAGATAGTCTTATGGGACCTCAGAACGAGAACCGCGGAAATGCGTTGCCAGTCAGCAGAACCTCTGAGGTCCATCTCATGGCATCATGAAGGAAAACAATTTATGTGCAGTCATACAGATGGATCACTCACCACGTGGACAGTCAGGCAGGCTCCTAAGCCCATCAATGTCTCACAGCCTCACGGTAAGCAAGCATGTTTGGTGATTTTCTGTCATGTCAGCCCAAGTTTGGCCTGCAGCACTTGTTCACTTGTGTCTGCTGTTCTTCAGAACATTGAAATTGGCATCTTCTGGATGTATGTATGTATAAGAAATAGCATTACTTGAACCATGCATACCAGTATATCCCCAGTTATCGACCAGTATGAGGCAAACACAAGTATTTTATTTCTGTCTACCTGACATGTACCTGTACTTGCCTAAAGTCCATAGGTACTCAAGATGGTATCCAGTGCTGAAATCCTAAAATTGGGTGTCCACTTCTAGACACTTATAATCAAGGTGAATATCCAATGATGATTCTATGCATCCTTCCTAAAGATGGATATCCACTCACACTTCAAGACATTCATCCTGAATACAGATATCCAGTCGAGGTAGTTCATTCGGTATAGCGTTGGACTATGGGCTGAATTCTCTCTTCTCCACAGTTTTCAGACCGGGTATAAAGCGGTCGGGTCTTGAAGCTGACCACTCACCTCAATCTGGTGTCTAGGTCAAGAATTTTAGAGCTGTACCTCCACTCCCACATAGAGCTTCATGGCATAATGCTTAATTAATTAATTAAGCACAGGGACAACTTACTTTTACATACAAATCTAGCCACTCATTCTGTGGACTGAAAGTCTGAAAATATATTGTCATGTGTAGAGTGGTACGCATGACGAAAATGACGGCGTCTAGTTTGGATGATTGGATTTATTACCACCTTGGTTACAAGTTCTCTTACTCACATTTAAATACGGCGCTGTTTGTGCTCTCTACATTTTGCAATTCACCATTACACATGCATTAGGAATCTTAGCCTTCATTAGTCGTCTCCTGGTAATGGAATTAAGACAGTCTCACCGTGACTAAATCTAAACACACACCAAGTCTTCACAGGCCGACTTCTTATTCTTCTTCTATGATGAATCTTCCTTGGCTGTCTTCCACTGAGAACTCAGAACTGACTGACTGCATTCACGTCCTTTATAAGCATTCTGCACATTGCACTCTGCACTAGTCTCTCAGTCTAGGCTAAGTCTAAGTCTAAGTCAAAGTTAAATTACAACTGGCAGTTTACTGCCAATCAGTTCGTTTTGGCATCAGGCCCCTTGAGGCCCATGACCAGGGATTTTTTTTTCCAACTGAACTCTTGCAGTAATAGTCCTTATGTAACATCCTCCCTGACGAGAAGATGGATTTATCTGTTATGAATATGCCTGGCTTTTTGTCAAAGGTATATTTCATACATATAACATGTTATTAAAAATTCTTTCTTTTGCACTACATGCAAGTCCTCTGTCAGTACATGCTTTACAGAGCAGATCATGCCTATTCAGTTATTCAGTATTAGAAAGGGTGGGTTTCCCCATGCACCGCGACTGGTAGTCTGTTCTACGTCCCCCTTTAATTTCTACTGTCACCATGCCCTACTGGTACTGGTGCTCGCTATCCCCCCCTTTCTGCCAGCGAGGGCCCTCTTCTGGCAGTGGTACCCGATAACTTCCCCATTTACCAGAGGCATTGGAAACTACTTGGGCAGGAAACTTTTTGCCTAATTTTGCTCAGAGGTCTCCTAGAGACATGCGGATCTTTTACATGCCGTAAGTCTACGACACGGAACCCATGGCTTAAAGTCCCTCCTGGAGGACTTGTTCCCTGAATTTTTCCACCCTTAAAAATTCCACGACCTCCGCTGGGTTTGAACCCGCGTACCTTGAATCATGAGGTGGGAACGTTACCCCTAGACTACGGAGGCTGCTAGATCATGCCTAACTTACATATCTTATTGTAACAGATACTCATTATATAGCCTCTGTATGGACCACACACAGAAAACCCAGTTCTGTCATGTGTTTACAATTTCATTGCTTAGTAATGGAAACACTTTGCCTATAATTGGCCAAGAATTTGCCTTTTCAGGAAGGTGTTTATCTAGATGTTCCTTAGCAACAGATATACATATTACAATATATTTACAATTCATGACCACACAGTGATGATAGTACTCGTACATTTAGATGCTTACTTTGAAAATGGTTATCCATAGACAAGCATGGATAGTCATTCTGATTTCAATGTGATATGTATTGTACACTCATGATTGTTCAACCACCCAGTTGACGGATATCCCTAGTTATTTTATATACTCTTTCTAAAATGGGTATCCAAGAATGATTCCAGACACTCATGTGGAATACACCCACTGATGAATTTAAATGTGCAGCCAAAGCATAGATATCCACTGATGATTCTGCACTCCAGACACTCGTTCTGAGAATAGATACCTGCTGATGAGTCTAGAGCCTAGATACTTATTCTAAGGATAGATACCTACTGATACCCTTAGATACTCATTATAATATTGGATATCCATGAACATTTATGGACACTGACCTTGTAGGTGGCAGCAGCAGTTCTTGCATCAACTCTGTATACAGTGAAACAAGTGATGCTTCTGAAAGCCTAGAAACAAAGGCTGCATATAATACAAATTGTTTAAAATGATTTAAAATCCCAAAGTTAACACTGTTGGCATTGTCTTGCAGATCATGATAAATGTTTTTACATTTTATTATACAGTGACAGACATTTACACTGTATGACTTTTATATTGTTCATATAGTTTGTGTTATCTTAATATTTATCTGCTGAATTCTGTATTGTAGCCAAAACAAATAAAGATGGTAAAGCAGAGGCATGCAAACCTATTCAGAAAGTGGAGTGGAAGTCTTCTAAAACAGGGTATGTTCATTTTCATTCCATTTATATTCATGATTTGAAGGTGGTTTGAGGTTAACCTACACTTCATTTCTTTCTCAAAGATATGGTCACCAGAAAAATAAAATTATTTTATGGACAGTTGATGGCAACACTGCATATTCTGCCTGGCAAGTGGCCACATGCCCCACATCTGAACATTAGAAATAATGTAGATAGCATCAGATGTTGCCCCTCTTGCTGTAGAACAGTGCTTTATCATAAAATTCCCTGTGAAAGAGAAAGTGAAACCAGCAGAAATTCTTTGTTGATTAAATGCACACTATGGAGAGGGGACCCTTTCATGTGACTGTGATTGGTGCAGTAAGTTTTCTGAATGCCATAAATAAAGTTCGGACCTGCTGCATGCTCATTCTCAGCTAACAATTGTATGTGATGTGATCATTTGCTGCGTGAAAACAGGCGAATTCCAGTGAGTGGCATGACATTCAACAAATAATTATCTACAGACACTTGCCTATTCAAGAAAGAGCATGCCTGGTGGGTCCCAAAGATGTCAACACTCAACTAGAATGTTCAGCATGTTGCTGTGCCTGCTAAACATGTGCTGGGAAACACTTTCCTAAAGCAAATAGTACTGTAGTAACCTGTGACAAGACGTAGATGCACAATTTAACTCCAGAGTTCAAGTGGTCCAGCATGGAGTGGCATCACACGGGATCTCCATTACCCAACAAAACGAAGATAAGCTGTGAGCTGACAACACCATGACAAATGTGTTTTGGGATTCGGAAGAAATGGGATCATGTTGATTTTTTTTTGGACGTGGTTTAACAATTAATACACAGTATTACACAAGCTTGCTTCACAGTGATGTATACCACGTGATTCTGAAGAAAAGACGTGGGAGACTGACAATGAAGATCATCCTAATGCATGACAACATTTGTCAATATGTGGCAAGTGTGACAATGGTGACATTAACAACAATGAGCCCTGATTAGCTGGAAGTGATTTTAATTTGTTTGGACTATATATCTAGGAGGGTATAAATTTCAAATGGATAATGAACTCAGATACTGTGTCCTGAACTGACTACACGGTGAGGATCAAACACTTCATACTACTGACATCAGTAACTTCCCAGGACAATGGAAGAAATGTGTCAGCCTAAAGAGAGAATATCTTGAAAGGGCGAGAGTTTTACTTTTATGACAAGTATGTTCTTTTTGTAAAAGATAAGTTCAGGTCAACCTTAAACTGCCCTCATGTAAGCTTTAATTGATTTTGCATGTTTCAGCATACACATTATTAGAATTTTAAAAGCTTTGAACAAGCAGCAAGGCTAAACATGGCTAAGATAACCTCATTGTAGGAAACAAATTTATCTATCAGTCAGTTATTAATAGTTAGATTTCCTATGAACTGTAAGTGTTTTATAGCAAGTGAATGACATTTGTTGAGAAAAGACTGAACGAAGAATGGAGTCTTCTAAGATGAAGCACCGTATAGTTCAGAGAGAGCCTGGCATTTTGGGGGAACATGCCACCTCCATCTTCAGGCTCAAAAGTGAACCAGGCAACAAGAAAAAGTTTGCACTAACTTCGCCGGCAAATGGTGGTCGCTCGGTCGGTATAGTTCGCTTGTGGGCTAAAGGCAACGGAGTTTGTTTATTACATGAGAGTTCCAAGTACTTGGATGCTGGATGGCTGGGAGTTTACCGTCCTTCTTCCTTCGTTTAATCATGTTTTATGGAAATGAGATGACTCATTAATATTTCAAAGCATAGACAATCCAGAATTATCTCANTAAAACAGTGGATGAGTATAATAAGGCAACAAAAGCTAAACTATAAATTACATGCAATAGCTAAAATAAATTACCTAAGTATCTTTGTTCTATTATTAAGCTAATTCTTGTAAAAATATTCTTGAAGGGAATAAAAAGCTTTGCACAACAGGTAATCCTTTAATTGACGCTTAAAAACCTTGGATCTCTTGAATACTTCTTATTTGAGAGGGCAAGTTATTATACAATCTTATTCCCATGTTAATCACACTCCTTTTACAACGTGAGGTGTTACATGGTTGGACATACAAATTCTGCTTATGTACTGTGTTATAACCGTGCACATCTGAATACGAGATGTTATATATCCTATTTTTCCTTAAAAAACACAACTGCTGACTCTGTTGCAGAAATAAACATTTGAGTTATTTTAATTAGCATAGCAGAGTAGTGGTATATGCAGAGAGAGAGAGAGACTGACACATTACCTCTCTATTTTCTTGTGTTTGGAATAACATGTAGGATATGAACAATTCTGTGGAACAGTGTGATGCAAACTCAGCAGGAATACTGAAGGCTAGTTCATGTCTATCTTTGTGTGTAAGAAAATGTCAGTTTGTAATGTTCATTCAGTTCAAGGAGCAATAAAAATGAAGAGGAACATGCATAAGCTGCAAAGTGAATAATCCATGTTCAGATAAAGAGTGCATTTCTTTCTATTCCCAATGATAATGGTGTGTTGTATTACAGAAGTTTTGCCCTTGCACTTGAATCTTAAGAACAGGATAAAAAAAGGACATAAATATAATAAGAAATGGAAAAAGTCAATTCATGCTAGTCATGTAAATGGCATTAATAAATTTATGAATACAAAATTGAAGTTATTGAATTGTAACACAGATGTAGATAATTTAATAATGACAGATATGTATTTGTAGACTATCTGGTGATGATCTCTGCAGATCAAAACATTTAGTGGGATGTAAATAAGTCAAATATCAAACATTTTAATGTCAGTTCTATAATCAACTGTTGTGTTGATGGCTGTCAAATGTACCTTTAAATCTGAGAGCCATATTTTTTATCGTCCCATTAGAAATCTGCATTACTCTGCCTATCTCTGTGTTTGTTTTCCTCTGATTCAAGTTTCGGTCTGCAGATCATATCACTGTAGAACTTTGTATCTTATCATTGCCCAATTCCTTCTCTCATTTATACCAGCATGAAAAGCATGATCTTATGAGTCTGAAGAAAAACTGTTATAAATTGCCAGGTTCTGACATGTATGGTGATGGATCTTTGAAGTATTAAGATGATTCTTCAGGAAAATAGAAAATAAAAAGAATAATAGTGATCGTGTAATAAAATATCTAGCATGATGACATCTGAACGGTCATTGTAACTCGTATATAAAATTTATATTTGATTTATATGAACTTATCTGCAAGCAGTATAAGTGTATTCAAGTCCTTTGGAGACTTAATTTTTATTCCACATTGTTTTCTTATATGTGTATGTTAATATAGTGATTCAAATTAGTGGTTTCACTTCACTTACAGGGAAGCATATGTGATATTTTCTGGTGGCCTCACGTATGACAAAGCAGGTCGCACTCCTAGTATAACAGTTATCCATGGAAAAACCACCACAGTATTGGAAATGGAACATAATGTTGTAGACTTTATCACATTATGTGAAAGTCCTTGGACAAGTGGTGAGTACGATTACCAGGTAACGCTGTGGTAGCAAAGCCTGAGAAAATTCGACACTATTAATACCAAAGCCTGCCATTGGTCACAGTCCAGAAATAGGTCCATCCATCAATGATTCCCACAGCCTTCTTCATAAGGCATGTCATAATGTTTTTCACTCTTTTCCTTGCCAATCTTCAAATTGGTCATATTTCAGGATCTCTCCTTACCAGTGCTGAATGGGTTCATTGTCTCCCCTGTCCTCCTCACATTCTTCATTGCATAATATCCTAAATTGCTCACCGACTTCATAATTACTAGGTCCAGACATATTCCAGCACAAGTACAGTTATACTCATATTATTGCTTATTAATACTGTGGAATGTTTCATTGCATTATACCTGCATCTTGTGCTTTAACCTTTCAGGAAAAACCACAGATATACCCATGTGCTTCTAGTGTGTTCTCTGGGCCAACACCAGATATACACATTTCCAGTTTGTACTATTTTTCCTCGCACACATGCTGAACACATTCATGTTGTATGTTTCTTGAATCTTTTAATTTTCATGTCTGTGCAAGGAATGCAAGTTTAAGTGGCAGTAAACTTGTTCTTCCTTGTAGAATCAAGAGAACAACAAGGAAAATGTTACTAGTTTAAGTGTTCCAATGAAGAAACCTGGTCTGAGGACATATCAGTGCTTGAAAATTGTGGATGTTACAGGATTAGTACCCAGGTTTATCCCTGGGTCCAGTGAATGGCCAAACTGTGTGTCCCTCCCTGACTCCAATTTGTTTGTAGTCTTTCTCAAGTAGTCCTTACCTTTTATCAGATCATGTAGTGTGCCTTTTAATTTAAATAAATGAAAGAGACTTCCAGTTCATTATATAGTATGTCACCTGTCTGTGCAGTTTTAGCAAAATGATAGTGTGTGTGATTTTCTAGGTACTTATGGCATATACTTGCATAGTACTCCCAATGTGTAAATAACAATAAGCTTCTGTGAAGAATCTTGATTTTATAAACTTTCTGTGAACAAGTTTTTACATTAGGGCACATGAATAATTACCTTCCTCTTTCAGTATGCATAATATCTCTTTACTACAATGAAATATGCAAATTTGTATGTATATTTCAAACATTTCCTTATCTTTTTGTGCAGCTGGTTGCTGTCTTTGTGTTCAGTTGTTTGTGGCATACTCTACTTAAGTGTTAGCCTTGTTTGAAAATTTTATCTTAAATTATTCTATCCTTCATTAATTCTAAATGTTAACTTTTTTATTTGAAAGCTGTACCAGAAGTAATAAACAGCATCTGTTTTGTCAGCATAACAAGACTAAGGGTTATGCTCTTGATGGGAATATCTGTTTTCTGCAATCTGAAATACAGACCCAGCACATGTGCACCAAATACTTATCCATGAGTCACTGCAAGGAAATGGCTGCACCTAAAATGCTGTATTGTTTCACCAGTTTGCTGTGATTCAGTTCCTCATAAAGAAGAACAATTCTGCTGCAAACAACTTTGATTGACTTTCATGTTTGTGGAGATTCTTGCAGGGGTTACAGCAGTGTGAAATGTTGTGCAAAACACTTCAAATATGGCAACAGGAACATTGCTGATCTGCCTACAAGGCTGGACCAAGAACTGCCACCACAGTGAAATAGTAGAAAGGTGGTGCACTCATAACATAAGACCAAAGTGTGTTGGTTAGGGAAATCATAACACAGCATACCATTGGACACAGTCCAGTGCAGTATATGGTGAAGTCTTTATGATACTGGAAAGTTTATTTTCATTGAATTGTCTGATTGCTGACAGATGAGCACAGAAGAGTATACATGGATATGTCATTGCAGTTGCTTCAGCTGAGTGCAGTGACTTCTTGCTGAGCATTATGACTAGTGATGAAATCCCGACACAAAACAACAAAGCATGGAATGGCTTCACAGTGATCTCAAAATGAGACCAAACTCTACCCTTGGCAAGAAGAATTATGGTTAAAGTTTTCAAGGCTGCTAAGGTGTGCTATACTAGTTGATTTCCTGCTGAGAAAGGAAAGTGTCAGTGCAGTTTGCTATGTTCAGACGCTGTAGAAACTGCAGTGTACATTTCATGTCATGCACAAGATGAAAAGACGCATCATTCTTCAACATGGTAATGAACACCTTCATAATGCACATCTGACACTGGCAAAAGTTGAAGAGTTTGGCCGGGAAATGATCCTCAATCCTTCATACAGTCTGGACTTAGACCCTTCATACTACCAACTTTTTGGGCCCTTCAAAGATCACACGAGGGGCAAACTCTAAAAAAAAAGAGGCAGTCAGCAAACCATGTTTATGTTGTTGCCAGATACTGAAATGGACTTCTACCCCAGCAGTATATTCAAGTTTTTGCAGCACTGGCAGAAATGTCTGGATCAATCTCGGAATCCTATGGAATAGTGACAGGACAACTCCAGTAACCCATGATAGTATCTGTTTTTGTACATTTCCTTCGCTTTAGCATAAAATAAATATTCTGATGACTTCTGGTTCAGCCTACATAATTGAAAGTACATATATAATTCATTATGCCATATTTACCCATAAATGAACCACATCTCCAAAACTATGGGTTTGAAAAGAAAATTATGCACCTGATATAACTTTTGACTTCTCAGCATTACTTCTCACTTCTCTTAATATAAGAAATTACAGTGAACACTTGTCTTACCAGCACTGAACAGTTCAGCACCTAGCACTTCTTCATCTTTGTTGTGGGTATAACAACAAACTGTATACCTTTACCGAATCTTGACAATCCAATGACTTTTTTTCCCTAAAGAAGCACACCCTGGTCATAAAAGCATCACTTCTGCGAATACATATGGCTTGTATGTATTTTGGAAAATAACAGCGTTCATTTTTCTGTGGTGTTGTTCATGTATGTGTTTATGATTTAAGATCATTTTTTTTATAATACAAGTAATAATTTGCTTTAATTTAATGAGAAATTTATTTTCAGTTAAGGCATTTCCACTTAACAGATGACTTTCAAGGAATACGTTTTGTTCCTAAGATGAGGAGTTAGAAAATAGTAGAGTGGGGTTACAAATTGGAAATGAATCGTTTGATGCTCAGGTGCACCTTTTTTTTCAGAATTACATTATATTGGACAGGTACATGCTAAACAGATGTGCAACGTATATCAAAACATAAACAGGAATCACACATTCGTTGTTTGGACGTATTTCTCAATATGATGTTAAATCGGATAGGAGTGGTACTAATGTATGGTGTTGCAATGAAACAAGCCACATTGGGACAACGTAAATGGGTCACCACCTATGTATATTTTCACTGCCCATAAAGCTCTCTTTCTGTTTCAGATTTCCAGGACCCGTATGCAATAGTGGTACTTCTGAATAATGACTTAGTCGTGATAGACCTCCTGACCCCTGGCTACCCTTGTTTTGAGAATCCCTATCCCATGGACCTTCATGAATCACCTGTTACTTGTTGCACATACCTTGCTGACTGTCCCTCTGACCTCATTCCTGCATTTTATTCTGTGGGTTCTCGTGCACAGAAGCGAACAGGCTTTAGTGAAAGGCTATGGCCCTTGTGTGGTGGAGAGTGGAGTCCTACTTCATGCAGCTACAATGAAATTATCCTCACAGGGTAAGATAAGTAACAGCTCATTACAGAAAAGATTCATTAACCCTGCACTGCTGGCCTAGGATCCTAAGTATTTAATGATGTGTGCTGCATTGAAATGAAGGAAAGTAATGCATAAAATCCCTCATGGTTGCGCCCACATATGCTTGATCTGATTTGGGGCTTTGAAATGTCATAATAGATCACTGTAGGTCGCAGTGTAAGGACCGAGAAGGCCCACCCCTTATACATACATTAATTCATTAAAATGTCATGTCACTAATTTTAAACCAAAGTAAATAGAGAGGTCACTGACAAATCATGACAATTGCTGTCATGTATATATTACTTGTTACTTCATCATGTCAACAAAATAGACTTTGTTCTGTCTTTGGCAATGTTGCATCACTTGTTGGATGCTTTTTCCAAGGCAACTGCTGGAGGGAGTGCAAATTTTATGATTAACACAATAGCTTCTGGTCTATGCTAATTATGTTAATATACTGGGTGAATAGATAAATGATACAAACTCTGTCCCAAGTGCAAACAATATATATTATATGTCCCTGATCTTGTTCTTTCCACACTACATGTTTCGGCCTCTATCGGCCATCATCAGGTGTATATTCTTAACGTTGCTGCCACACTGAACCCAGTCTAAAATTTAACATTTAAAAACACAATGTCACATTCTTCGTATTATCAACATCTACATCGTTGATATGTGTCTGGTATGTAGATTATGTTGCACACGTCAAATTTGATATTCTTGTAGTAGCACTCTAAAAATCTTTAGTTATGATGTTTTAAAACATTTTAAAATTTTTCACTAAATTTTAAATTTAAAATTTAAAATTCTTAGGGTTACTTGCCCTATGTCTAAGTGCTGGAGCGGCTAGTTCTTGTTTTCACACTGTACAGGTGTTATTTAATGTAGTCTTCTTGTGTGGGTGCCCCTGCTTGTCTGTACTATAATATTGGGTGAATAGATTTGTAGTTTGGTAGATCACATCCCAGTATATCATAATCTTAATATTCACCACCGTGAGAACTGCATAGCAACTATAGATGGGTTTTGGAGTGATGACTGGATTTATTAGACACTCATACAACTTGTGACTGCACTACACAGACTAGTGTTCTCAATCATGTTACTTGGTAGCAGCTTTTAATGGTGGATATTCCTCTGCTTTTGGGCTCACGTTCTTGCAGTGTGGTGACCAACTCATGCCAACCTCATGCTCTGACAGCTGGCTTCAGCTGGTACTTCCTTCAGCTGCTAGCTCCTGGGATGGACCAACTTCCAACTGCCAACCTCCAATTTCAGCTGTCCAAAATAGTCAAAGTCAAAGTTATGTTATGACTGACAGTCAGTCGGCCAGTCTGTCTTGGAATAAAGCACCCATTTGCGGCTTACAAACAGATTTTTATTACTGTCAGACAGTTGCAGGTTTGTTTCTGTGGGGCGCTCTCTCTAACGAGAGAATGGGTCTGAAGTTTACAACTGCTGCTGGCCCTCGCCAACGCAGTCATTCTTAGGTCCAATTCAAGCGGGACTTGTGACGATATTTTACTCTCTCAGATTCGAGATTCCCCCAACCTGGAGGACCATGTCCTTGTATTTATATACCCCAGGAAAAGGGTGGCCCAATTGTACCCCCAGGCACTGGGTTCCCTTTTTGTCACCTCCTATGACTCGCAGGGCTACGATGGAGGCATTTGAACCTGCCTGCACACAGGATTGTCCATCTGGCAAGGTGGACCAATCTCAATATGTTGAATAACAACCTGCGGAATGACATGGGGCCCAGTTCCAGGGGGGGTGCCAGATCAGGGCTATAGGAGGGGTGTGGAAGAACTTCCCACCCCATCTTTGCAATTGCTTCCAATGTGAGGCGAGGGGCATGGGGGCGACCATTGTCATGCAGGATGATGATGTTTCATCCCGGACGTTTATCACACAATGCACGACGGAGCTTGTGCAGCGTCTGGACGTAATGAGCAGCATTGATGGTTTGCCCAAGTTCCAGGAATTCGGCCAGAATAAACTCCTCTGCATCCCAGAAGACTGTGCCCATCACCTTCGCAGCTGATGGCACTGTCTTTGCCTCTCTATTTTGATGGAGAATGCAAATGGTGCCATTCCATACTCTGCCGTTTGGTTTCAGGCTCGAAATTGTGAAACCAGCTTTCGTCACCTGTCACAATACAGAGCAAAAATCATCGTCTTTGTGTTGAAATCTCTGCAGCAGTTCTGATGTGATGGCTTTTCGCTGACCTTTGTGGTCTTCGGTGTATAACCGCGGGACCCAACGAGCACAAACTTTCCTATAGCCCAAGCTTTCAATCATCTCCTGTACTGCACTGTGCCCTATTCCAAGTTTTTGGGCTATTGTGTCCACAGTCACTCACCTGTCATCTTGAATGATCTCATCCACTCTTTCCTTGTTGTGTTCAGTTGAGGCTGTTCGAAGACGACCGCTCTGAGGCTCATCTTCGATGCTGGTGTTCCCATCTTTAAAATGTTTCACCCATCTTCAAACACTGCTCTCACCCATGCACACACTTCCATAAGCATGCTGAAGTCTCTGGTGAATTTCTTCAGCAGGGATTTCCTCTTTCACAAGAAATTCAATGACAGCACGCTGGCAAAACGACATATGGTTGTCGGCCATTTTGTTAGGATTGATACTGGTCACGTGGTGTAAGCTCTTGACATCACAAGACACTCAAGGTTAACACAACAGCTGTTTCCACCTACCACCTTACTCTCTTATGTGTGCTGTTCCCAGATTGCACGTAAAAAAAAAGTTGCTCATGACTTTCGGTACGACCTACGTATATGCTATTTATGATATATGCATCTGTTAAATAATTCCTTTCAATCTTATTTTTCAGACATGCAGATGGCAGTATAAAGTTCTGGGATGCATCAGCAGGGTCCTTACAAGTTCTATACAAATTAAAAACGGCCAAAGTATTCGAGAAGCCAAGATCCAGAAGTGTTGATGGTGTAGATGAAGACCCATTTGCAATACAGTTAATATCCCTGTGCCCTGAAAGCAGAAAATTGTGTGTGGCAGGGGCTAGTAGTCATGTGATACTTTTTAAATTCCGAAAACTGGAATCAGTCTCAGAAACAGCTGTAAGTTTAATATCTTTATGTTAACCATAGATCAATGAAACAAAGTATCATGGCCCTTCTTTTCTGTGGTAACAACATTGCAGATTGTGAGATTGGTAAAATTCCACCATGTATAAGAAATAGGCTTGTCTAATTAAGTCACCCATTTTCTGACTAATTCCATGACACAGAGTCTTCTTTGACAAATCATGAGTTATTAAGCTGTTAAAATATTTCTTGTTAATATGGAATCTGTGTTCATAAAATCCCACCAATGGACCCTATCCTGAGCCAGTTCAGTCCAGTTCACACCTTTACAACCTGTTGTCTGAGAAATAATAGTATAATCTTCCAGACTCTCTCTAGGTCTTTCAGATGGTCTCTTACCTCGTTTTCCAACCACAGTCTTATATTAATTCATGGTTTGCTTATCTTATTGTATTGTATTTTAACGGAATGAGTTGGTTCAAGAAATAATGCATTTTACTATTTGGGAGGTCCCCAGTTTGAATCTTGGTAGGGGCACTGACTATCCCATCTGATATTTTCGTGGTTTTCCCAAGTCTCTCCAGGCAAGTACCAGGGTAGTAGCTTCAATTAGACCATGATCTTAAAATTTATATAATTTATTTCATTCTGTATATTTTGAGTTACTGACAGTGTCATTCAGTGAGCCACAAAAAAATGAAAAAGAAAAGAAAAAAGGTAAAGTAAACCAAATAAAAATAAAACCAATTTTGAACTCCTACATTTTTCTCTAATCTTCTGTGTTACTTCGACCTTTATATCTTCTTCAGTATCTTGCTGTGAACACAGCAACAACTCTCAAGATTTGTGGTTCTAAAAATAGTAACCATGAAGAGTATTGGCTCGTTCGTAGTCTGATAAAAGTCTACTGACTTTTCTAAGGAATATACAGCTTCCAACTTCAAGGTCAAAGATATTCTTGCTTGGTTTACTCTTTGACCTGAAGATGGGGGCTCTATGTGTGTTTCTCCATATACACTGGTGAACGTCTACGATACTACATGGGGCAACATCCCAGAAGACAGTAGTACTCTTCATTATGACTCTTCATGGACCATGAAAGTCTAGGAATGTTTTCATCTGTTGAGTAACTGTCAGCCTCTCAAGACCTACTCTGTCTACATGGAGTTAGCCCAGATGAAGAATAATATAGACTGTGCTCTAAATGTGCATGTTTTTTAATTATTGTCATTATAAACTTACTTCCATTGTGTGCCATATTGTCAGACTCTGTAATGTTCTTAGATGCTAGAAATTCCCATCACATATGAAATATCAGAGGAAGGGGACTGTTCTCCAGAGTATGAATATCCACCCCGCCCAACCCTCAGCATGGCTTCCAAAACAGATTCAGCTGAAGGAGAGAGCAAAAAGGTATGTAAAAAAAGGTCATATGAACATACACTTTGATTTAAATTAGATATGATTAGAGTAGCGTACCATATTGGCTCTTGCATGTCAACCAAACTGCAGTCTGTTGTGCATGTCATTTCTGGATTAACCCCGTAACATTCCCATGCTTCAGATGAATGGCATCACTTTGCTCAGTGGAGCATGTGTATAATTAGTAGACCTCATGACATGAGTCCCAAGTGACAAAGCCCCACAGTTGCATAGCATCTGTAAGGCTGTTTCATCTTTGTTATGGCACTTCTCACATGTGGGGCTACTTATTATTTCCAGTTTTTAAAGTTGTCCTCTCAAGTGACAGTGTGCAGTATGTAGTCCCTTCACATGACTTAGCTGGTTCCTGTCATTGAACAAGCAAATACTGTAGACATTTTGCCAATGCCAGAACGTTGTGTTCACTTTCTTATCTCATTGAAGGTTTTCCACCCTTCACTGACAAGGGAGAGACAGGATTGCATGGTATACAAGGTCTGACAATTTAATTCATGGAATGGGCTTAGCGTGTCGCTCAGGTGTTGAGTCAGGCAAACTCATGTATACAAGCCGTTTGGACATGTTCCAACTTGCATTTACAAGAGCCACAGACCAAATGAATCATTCATTCCCAAGCAGCAGAGGAAGTTGTAGGTGTCCATGGTATACTCTCTGTGGAAAAAAGTGACAAGAATCTGGAACAGCAGATAAACATCAAGTTTTGTGTGAAGATGGGTAAAAGTGATAGTGAAACGTTAGTCCTATTAACAGTGGCTTATGGTGAGTACACTATGAATAAATTGAGTGCTTTTGAATGGCATAGGTGGTTCAAGGAAGGGCAAGAAGATGTGCAAGATGAACCAACAAGTGGACAGCCAAAAATGCAAAGCAGAAGTTCAAATGTAGACAGAGTACGAACTTTGGTGCACGCAGATTAACATTTAGGTGTGAAACTAATAGCAGAAGAATTGAATATGAATTGAGAAACAGTGTGACAGGTTATTTCGGAGGATGTGGGAATAAGAAAAATGTCCACAAAGATGTTGCCTTGAATCTTGACAAATTACCAGAAACACTGACTTCACATTTCATCTGATCTTTTACACAATGCAGAGATGTTTGATAGGGTCATTACCAGTGATGAAAAGTGGCGTTTTCAATATGACCTGGAAACAGAACGCCAGAGCATGGAGTGGAAACACAGAATTTACCTTGGCCAAAGAAAATACTGATGTCTCACTCACAGTTCAAGAACTTGCTTGTGCTTTTCTTCGATCACAAGGGGATAGTTCAGTATGAATTCATTGCACAAGGACAGACGGTAAATCAATGGTGTTATTTGGGAGTGCTGACAAGGTTACAGGAATCTGTTCTGAGGAAAAGACCTGAACTCTGGTCTGACAAGTGGATTTTCCACCATGACAGTGCCCCTGCACATGATCCATTAAGAGTTCGTGAATTTATGGCAAAAATCCTTTAGAGAATTGGACCATCCACCTTATTCACCTGACTTAGCCCCCTGCGATTTTTGGCTCTTTCCAAAATTAAAAAAGTGCCCTGATGGGACAATGATTTGCTGACATTCCTGACATCCAACACAATGTGACAACGTTACTGTGAAGTATTCTGGAAAATGATTTTCAAGACTGTTTCCGGTAGTGGCATCATTGTCTCATGTATTTCATAGCTTTACAATGAGAGTATTTCAAAGGCGACAGCAGCTGCTAGTGCATATGTAAACACATTTTTTATTTCACAGGGCCATTCTGGGAATTAAATTATCGCACCTTGTAAATTGTCAGATTGAACTGTTTTTATTGTTTTGTGCCATATGCATGTGATGATATTTTTCTTTACTGTGTATTGAAAATATTTACACAGGTCACCCACCATATAAAGGGAGACTGCATGACCATATTCTACAGGTTGTTTGAAGCAGAAATTCCTCAAAATATTAGTTCAGTTTAGCACCTTTATCAAGTTAGTTGGTTGGTTAGTATATCATTGAATACAGAAACCGTTTTCTTCTCAGCTTATTCTAGTACAAGCTTGTGGTTCACAGTACTTTTCATTTTGGATCTTTATATTTCATAAAGTGCTGATGATATTCTGCCACAATGGTCCTACCATTTCCATTACAGAATCCATATATGAAATTAATATCAGCATATACCTTACGTTTAAATATGGAAGACATTTAACTGACACTTTTGTACACTGAAGAACAACCGTAACAGTTAAATACAACAATCAGGCATTTCATAAATGGATTATAGTGGTGTTAGTGAACTACAATCAGACTATTGTTTACAGACAGCTTTTGCTACAAATGACATGCCCCCAAAGTCAGATCATTGTGTGGATGGACGTACTTACTTACTTATGGAGCTGAGCCCTTCTTGAGGAGAAAACAAATCTGCCGCTACTCAAGAATTTCCCAGCATTTTATGGAACCCAAAGGTTCATTGCCATGTTCACAAGAGACAAGAGCCCTCCACTGTTCTCTACCCTGAGGCAGATCAATCCAATCCATACCATCCCATCCTATCTCTCTAAGATCCATTTTAATATTGTCCACCCACCTACACCTTGGTCTTCCCAATGGTCTCCTTCCTTCTGGCTTTCCCACCAATATCCTACATGTATATGCATTCCTCGTCGCCCCCATTAGTGCTACAAGCCCTTCCCACCTCATCCTCCTTGACTTGATCATTCTAATTATACTTGGAGAAGAGTACAAATTATGAAGCTCCTCATTATGCAGTTTCCTCCAGCCTCCTGTCACTTTATTTCTCTTTGGTCCAAATATTCTCCTCACCCCCCTGTTCTCAAATACCCTCAGTCTATGTTCCTCCCTTAATGTCAGAGACTAAGTTTCATGCCCATACAGAACCACAGGCAAAATTATATTTTTGTACTCGTATATTCTAATTTTTATGCTTTTGGACAGCAGACGAGATGACAAAAGGTTATGGACTGAATGGTAGCAAGCATTACCTGAGTTCAGTCTCCTCTTAATTTCCTCCTGAATCAGGGTTTGATTTGTTATTGTCATTCCCAAGTATCTGAACTGCACCACATTTTCAAAACATCTGTTTCCTATTGTTATGTCATGATTTTGCTTTGTAGACTCTCAACAGAGGTTGTGTTACCAAACATAAAAATCTTGGGTATTCAGTTTCACAGCAGTGTAGTTGCAAGGTGTAATTATCAGCAAATGGCTAGAAGTAGGCAGTAGCTGGGTAAAGAGGGGCAGAAGCTGGTACCAATATCAGAATCTGTACTCAAAGTCCACTTGTATTCTGAGGAGCTACATCTATTTGTCAGACATTTGATTTTCTTTTCAGAGCATCGTCACTTGCTGCTCTTTTCAATTATTAAATAAAAATAGTTTCAGGATGTATACTTCTTGGGTTTCAAATTGTTTAAATAAATGAAGCTAGTTGGTCTTCAGTGTCAGTTCTTCTACTTTAACCACTTAGGTCGTACCTCAGCTCAGGCAGTTAGTTGCCAGCTTCTGTGTGTGGAGGCTCTGATTCAGCCCCAGGGTAGTCAGTGGACACAGTGGCACTGGGGCAGGGTTTTCTCTGAACACATGAGCTTTCGGCTGCAGTTCTCCTCCCACCAGTGCTTCATTCTAATGTGTCATCATCGTGGGTACAATAGGGCCATATAAGGCTAAATTACCAAAGGACTGTCAGTACCCTGCCACTACAGGGGCTATTGTCATAGAGCACAAAGGAAATACAGAATTTTTACCACCTAAGTAATTTATGGCATTCTTATTACTTTGAAACTGTGTGAGGATTGTTATTGTAGTGAGTTAAATGGCATGTTGTAACCTTGTAATGTTCCTAGATTTAAGGTTTTCCCTTAAGTAAGGTTCAGGTTCAGTGATCATAAGTCAGTCTCACTGTTAGTTTTCTTCATTTAATATTTTCCGCACTTTAATGTTCATATCCATTACCTCCCAGAGAAATCTTCAGTGATGACATAGTTTTTTTTTTTTAATAGATGTGGTAATGTTCATATCAATTACCTCCCAGAGAAATCTTCAGTGATGACATAGGTTTTTTTTTTTTTTTTAGATGTGGGAGAGTTAACCTGACTGTCTAGGGTTCTAGGGTCTGTCATGAGGAATGAAATTTAGTAAACAGGGAGAATATTCATCAAGTTATGTCCTTGTGAAGATTGATGGTAACTGTTTGCTTCCCACAGTCTTCTCTTGAATATTTAACTCCACTGAGAGTACGTACAGGACCACAGAAGAAACCACCAGGCTTCCAGGCACATCTTGTTTGTTTAACACCTCTCATGAATGGAGAGCTGCCTAGTCAGATCTCATCTCTCAGCATAAATTCTTCCTATGGCCTGTAAGTATTATCAGGTTCTGCAACCCATATTGTGTGATGACCAATAAGAGTAGAGTACTGTAAAACCTGCTTAGAATGCAGTATAAAAGAAACCGAGGGTCATATTATTTATGATAGGTTTTAGTTTAAAATAGGAACTTTTATAAGAGACTACTGCACAATATGTGGTCTGACAATAAAGTTCATGAACTCATCGCAGTAGAAGTGCTACGTACCTTATTGCTGAATATCACTGTGGTCACCTTCAAAGTAACCTGCTTTGTGAGCTATGTATCGATGTAAGCGCCTAGTTCACCCTTCAAAAGAATATTGGAACCGGTTTTGTGAAATGGCCTTCAGAGCTGCCATCATATTAATCCTGATGTCATCAATGTCATCAACATGCCTTCCTTTCAATATTTCCTTTATTTTTGGGAACAGAAAAAAGTCACTGGGGGCTAGATCCGGTGAATAGGGAGGGTGTTCCAGCACAGTTATTTGTTTACTAGCTAAGAACACCCTCACAGACAGTGCCATGTGATCAAGTGCATTGTTGTGATGCAAAACACACTCACACAATAATAGACACCACTCAGAAGGACTGCCATAGCTCAGCAAAACAGCTGTGAAATGCTGATATGCCAGCATCATCAAACCACACTGAGGTTTCTGTTCACTTCTTACAAGGCAAGCAATGGTGGTGAGTTCGTGGAACTTTATTGTCAGACCTTGTATGTGTCATTATACATATATATTAATAGCCAAAAGTCTGCCCATCTGTCCATTCTGCCCTGTTTACATATCTCAAATGGTCCACCATAGAAAAAATGATAAATTAAAAAAAAAGTGTTCCCCTTGGATTTACAGTCCCAGGAAATTTGTTAATTTTGCTGTTACTTGTGGAGTTTGAGTCCAGTTCAATTTCTTTCTCTAGGAAATTCTTACGGACTGTGATATTCTTTGTATACTTTAAAGTAACCACCACGAACAACAACAATTATTCCCCAAATTGTTACGCAGATTTTTCTGCATGGGAACACCAGTCATATGTGTCTGTGATTCAGATGATAAATCAAAAAGTTGTGCTGCATGAACACTACATTGTTAAAGAAAAAGCACATATTTTCAGTTGCCTTTCTTTCTTAACACTTAAACTTAAATATTTAAATCACCCTGGGGACCAGCATTTTTATACCTACTACACTAACTTGTGCACTGTTCACTTTAAAAATTAATATAAAATCTCCTAATTAATTTTATGAACTAAAATTTTTGGAGAACATTTACCAGTGCTCCTAGAAGTGCTTGAGAGTGTGATATTTCTGGAAACATTCCCCTTTGTGAAGTGGCATTACACACTTGCAAATGTAGACAGTCATAGTCCTTTTTTTGTGAACTGCGCAAACACGGCATTGCCTAGAAGGATGCTTCCCCTTGGAATGTTCACTCTTCACAATCTTCATGAGGGTATATTTCCGCATATCACCCGAGATTCGCCCAGGGGTGTCCACATGAGGCCTGCATGAGGCATAAGTTGATGGGCTAGGTCACACTAAGTCTGTCTGACTCTGGTTCTGCCGCCACCATCTGGTCTGTAGCCCAAGCCTATGCCACATTCATCAGAAATGCTTTGTATTTCAATTTTTAATCAGGGTTTAGATTTTTGTAAACTAAAAGTGAATTCAAAATGGCACAATTTATAAGCCACAAGGCAACTTTCACTTTTATTATCTGTGGCCACAATTCTTTGTTGACCCCTGTCACTTCCACTGTCTGAGTCACTAATCACTATTCCTCCACAAGGCACGTCAGATAGCTCATCGGAAAACAAGTCAGAGAGATCGCTTTGCCTTCAACCGCTTTTGTCCTTGAAACATATTCCCCTCTACTAACTTCCTGGCTGGTACATAAAGAGCTGGAAGGAGCAAAGTTTATTTTCTTTTGGAGTAGGAACCCTAGCCAGCCAGGTCAAGTTAATGAATACGTAGCATACATTCCGAAGATTTATCACGCAGTATTCATTGCAGTTGTGTGGTGCCAGAGCAAGGTATAGTGTGTTACAACCTAACGTGTCCTAAAATCCTGATATCATGCAACCGGTCCGCCACGTTTAAAAGCGAAAAGCATGATATCATGTGTCCGGTCTGCAAAGTGTTAAATTAATTACTCATTGGAATGAAAACAGTTGTTATGTAAATTGCTATAAACTTGAAGTCTACATGTGGTCAGTGGTGATGGTGGACACAGTCCTTTAATTAAGTACCTTCCAAATGACTTGAAAGACTCAAGTATTGCCATATGACTACAAGTAAAATTCAAAGAATATCTAACAGAAAAGGTGTAAATGATTTTTCTTACATATTGAAGTTGCATGAAAACTATACACAATACAGCAGGCATGTCAAACGCATCGATCGTGGGACGATTTTTGGTTGATCTCATAGGCCTATAAGGAAATTATACGTGAAATGTGTGTAAATTCACTTGTAATATAATATGATTATATTCGGATTTTGAAGGGAAAATACATGTTAAAGTAGTCTGTACTTTCAATGTATGTTCCTTTTACAACAAACATCATGTGTTGTGTTATTTTTACCAATATTTTTGCTTAAAGTGAGGTACAATGTTAGGAGGAGGTGGTAGATCACTGGCAATTTTGACACTAAAAAGTTGATCACAGCCTGTTTGAAGTTGGACATGCCTGCAGTGTAGTATCATTGTGTTTAAGTATCAGGTATTTGTGATAGTAAGTTTACTATGTCTATTGTTTCTGAGAGCTGGTTGACATGTTTCAGAACTTTTTCCTTTATAGAGGCTATGTATTAAATCTTGATTTGATGTTCTAAACCATATATCAGAGCCAAAGAGATTTCATATCTGAATGTATTTGTAAGGTAATGACTGAAATTAATTTTTGGCCTTTAATATAATCATTACCTGTTGCATGAATATATTTGATAGCATCAAAACAACCATGCCAGTTAAAACACAACAAACAGAATAAATGGATTATAGCAGTATCAGTGTTTCTCTCAGAATCTTTTATTTGTTTGTTTTTGCTTGATTATTGTTTTTGTCTGTGTTGTTCTTATCACATATTCTTAAAATTGGAATACATCTGTTAATTAAATGCTGTTATGGAGTATTGAAATTCAAAGTCCTGCTTTTCCTGCAGGATGACTTATGGTACAGATTTTGGAATTGTGATAGTTGACATTGTCCAGAAAGTGTGTATACTAAATATGAGTTCACCTGACCTTTATGGCTCAGCTGATCCATATCAAAGGGTTCCACGGTCACCGAAACGTGACAACAACTCTCGTGAGCTGGATGAACGATGCCGTTCACCCAGCACAGACCAGGTATGTGTTCATCCAAATCTACTTGCATATGTACCCATAACTCATTCTTATTAGATTTAAAATTTAAGGCGAATAATCAGTTTACTCGTAATATAGAAGTTTCTTTCAAAATAAGAACTGATTTTATTTTTAAGAGGACAGAGCGTAAGATGTAACATGTTGAGAGGTTTAACTGAAGTGTCTGAAACTTGAGACTTCTTTCCTAGTAATATTACAGAAAGGCCATTTGAATTGCAATAGGTCTGACCAGCAAGCACATTATCACAGTCTCAGTCCTCAGATGGGGCTTATCCTCTGACCTGGCACTTGGACAGACTTAGAGTAAAGAAGCTGAAAGTCCATTTAAAACTGCAGTTGTTTATGACAGCATCCTGCAAACACTTCATTGACCAAGATAACATTTTTGTCTGTTCTCAAAGATAGACTGCACGGCCCGCAGGGTGTAATTTAACAAAGTTCCGTGGGTTACCCCATCTCCCTCCACTTATATTTTTGGTCATCTTATGTCAGTTTTCTTCTAATAAACATTAATGTAATGAAACAAGGTTCTTTATCATTGAGGCCTCCCATTCTGTGTTTAAAGGCATTGACAAAAGGCAAATGTACTATCAGAATTGTACACATTTTTAATTCTCCTTTGTCAGATGTTTAAAAATTCAGTTCCTTTTTCAAAACATGCTCATAAATGTAAATATTTTCATCCTTCTATATAGTTGTCCTTTTGACTTACCAGATAGGTTTCTATTACATCAAATCTTCTCAAGCAAGTTTCATCAGAGACTTTCTCTCTTGAAAACTGTGCTCATTTTGAATAGATCAAACTACAGAAAATAAGCATTTGAGCATCTGTGATGATGAAATGAGTTCTTAAATTTTAATAATATATGTTGTTTTTAATAAATGCATCCATTGTTCTTGTGTATCAATTATTGATATCCTGTATAGTCATTAGGTATACCTCATTCGAATAACTCTGCTTACCAAATTGCCTTTTTCTGTTACTGTACTGAAGTAAGTTAGTTAAACCAGATGATGTAAAATATGACACATTGTGTACTGATCCAGTATGTTCATCATTCTTAGAATTATAACGTATCTCTCCAAAATTTCTTTTTCTGTGAGAGTTTTTTGTGTAAGATAGAAACTTCACCAACAGTTGAAGTTAAGTTTAGTAGTGTCATAAATACAGATGCCTCCTTGTCAGTACTTACTGTAAGTGAAATTTAGAAACATAGGAATCCTTGTCTTGAATATAGTGGTGAATGTAGTGCAAAATAGGCTATAGTTTTTAGTCCATATTCATAGCATATAGAAGAGAGTGTGCATTTTTATGTGGTTACTCAGCAAGATCTGTAATGTTGCTGTGGCTCTAAATGATAGTCATGCACCAAAACCGTACTTGTTCAATCAATCGCTCTACAGTACAAACCTCATTGATTCAATTCTATCTTATACTTTTATATTTCTACTCTGTCTTATACAGAGTAATTATTTATAAATCTAAATCCTTGTAGAATTCTGAAAATTCTGTAAGAAATGACTGATGCTGTAGACATAGAATTATATTCAGAAGTTTGGATTTTATATTGTTAATTCACATTGTATTCTTTTTTGCCAGGAGACAAAATATTCTTTGGTTTTGAATGCCAGATTGAATTCAGAATTTCTTTTCCATTATTGTTTATAAGGTCATGCAATTGCTCAGGCAGTTCATTGGCTTCTCACTGCCAAACCTCAGGTACATTCCCAGTTGAATTTGTGTGAGATTCATATTGGATGAAGTGGTACTGGAGCTGGATTCTTTTCACCTGTTAATTATCTTTCCACCATTGCACCATACTCATCTGTCTTTGCTTCTTGAGGTGTGTGATAGGCCTGATCAGCCAGCACATTATCACATCCTCAGTCCCAAATTTGGGGGCTTCACATGTCTGATCTGGCACTTGGCTGGTCACAAAGTAAGGAAATTAAGTTTTCTTCATATTAATATTTATGTCTTCCAAGATCATGAGAACAAGTGATGACCATATACAGTTTATTGTTATTTGCTATTGTACTTGATGATACCACCTAAGCAGTGATAATTTCACCATGTTCCTTTGTGAATCAAAAGGGTTGAACCATATACAAATTATTCATGATGAGTGAGATGTATACTTCCTGCTGAGTTCTCTTAAATTTGATCCGTGGAAAGTGCACTACATATTTATGACTTCCTTGAATAGTTTTATTCAATGAAAAACGTATTTCCTAATTGAAGTTCTCCATATTACATTCCTGTGAAGCTGTAAAACTATGCTCAACTCTGTTTTAGAACAAAGTATTCAACTTTAAGAGGGCCAAATCTCTAATTTTTTTATCACCTCTAGGAATTTATGTTGAATAATTCTGAGATCATTTCTCTTTATGAGAGTTGAAGTATACTATTAAACCTCTATAAATCTATTTTTATAATCATGTATCCATAACAGTTTTACATACTTAGTTTTGCAGTGTCTAGTGGTCTTGTACATTAAAATTTCTTCTTGCAGAAGTTTTTAAACATTTTAGTAATGAGATTCCAGACTACAGACCATCGTGTTCCAGAAGACAGTACTCTAGAATGACCATTTGAATATAACTTAATCAAGAAATACATCACATTTCAAGATTTTACACACTCAACTCTCTGTGCCAAAATGTGATATCTAAGTTAATGAAATGTCATAAGCCATTCTTTAGCCATTAGCTAAAGCATCATGTCGTTTACTACAGAATATTTGAACCAATGTACAGACTCTATCAGCTGGAATGAATGAGAATTTGGAATGGAATTAAGTAACGTCTTCTTTTTTCCATTTCATTTCATCCACGGAAGTTTTGTGATACATATAAAAGTAAAGTTGTTCCAGTACATAAATGAGCACCATGCCCTTGAAGTAGTCTGAGGAGTAGAGGTATAGCTCCATGCAAGGCATATATTTGTCATGAATTTTTTAGACCAGATCAAGAAAAGAATATCCAGATCTCAATTTGAACATTGATTCTTTGGTATCAAACTAAAATCATTTTAAGATAATTGTTTTTGTATATGCATGAATCACCCTGTGAGCAACGTTTGCCTCTCTCTCCCTCTTTCTGTCCATGATAAAAAAGAACACGGATCTATATCCACAGGTCAGCTGTACCATAAGGATCAACGGATTGTATAAATGTAAATAAATAATAAAAAATCTAGAATTGAGTTTTTTATTAGAACTCTTTATTCGAAAAGGTGATCAAAAGTGATAATTTAATTCTCTATGAAAAAGTGGTTAGTATATTAAATTGCAATTACAATGAAAAAAATTGTCTAGTAAAGAAGATTTTCTTTCTTGTATCTATTCTCAAACTTTTTTCCAAATTCTTGTCTTGAACTGAAAAATTCATTGATGCACATATCTTCTTAACCTTGGCACTAGATGGAGGTGAGTGGTCAGTTTCATGTCCTGGTCATGTTACTTCTTGGGAAAGAACCCCAGTAACCTGTGGATAGGATGCTGGATGGTCCCCAGAGCTGGTCTTCACAGTGGAGAAGACAAAAATCTTTATGTCTGCTGGGAACCAAACCCTGATTCCTGATAATCCAGCCTGTAGCCTAGTTATTATACTGAGTGAGTTATCCTGGCTCACTATACAAGCAGAAAAATAAGAGCACCAGTCTCCTTTTTGTTTTCTGAAAGTACTAAAAATCCTGTGTAATATTTATTGCCCATAAACTTAGTTGCAGTCAGAGAATACTTAAAACCAGCATCATCATTTTCTTAGAAATTTTGATATGTTTGATTGGCTGCTACACTTATATTTTAACGTATGTTATTTTGTAATATGTTTAGTAGAACTGTGCTACAGGAAAGCTGCACACAGATACTCTTACTGTGCAGTTACTGGAACATTCAGTTCAAAACTGTACCTTCTGAAACCCTCTCATTCTATGGGCTCATGCGTGGGCCTAGTTTTATCTCCATTCTAAGACTGCACAGATGGCAGCTCTTAGCTGTTTTTGTTCATTGTACAGGACAAGGAAAGTGGATCTATACGTCCACCCTCCCCCATACACCTGCATGGCATACCGCTTAATTAGTTAAGCACAGGGACAACTTTGCCTTACCTTACAGGACAAGGAATGTGTAAACATTTCTAACACCTTTGTTAATCATCAATACAAAATAACTTTTGGGAAGAAACAGCAATGCTTGCTTTTCTCTCAGATACCTCAGGCTATATGATGAGGTTAGCAAGAACAATGCATTAATGGTTACATAATTTAATACTCCAGTTTTGTATATATTTTCCAATAGCATAAATTTGAAATAAAGTAAATTTGCCAAATACAAAATCAAAATTTCATACCATTATCATATTTGTAATGTCATGCTATAAAATTGTTCATTACATATTGCAAATGAACCAAGAGATAAGTACAGATTTCACACAACTACCATGCCATTGTTTTCCAGTCTACATGAAAAGTAAGCTCAGCAAAATTCTATACTTTTCAACAATCTCTTACCAAACATTTCAAGTCCCCTCACTGATTGGTACTAGTGTTGCATCCTCCTCAGAAGTTCACATGGCTGCCAATTTGATTTTATCTATGATTGAAAATTGAAGCTCGTATTAAAGTAAAGGTAAATGTAAAGGTGTCCTTGTGCACAATTAAGCACCAAGGTCATGAAGATTTATGGGGGTACAGCTCCATACATTCTTAGCATCTGCACTAAATGAAGGTGGCACACATGGTAGTGTAATTGTTTGAGGCACTGTGCTACAAGCCAGAAGGTTGTGGGTTTGATTCCCGATGAGGTTATTGCATTTTTCAGTTGACCTAGTCCTTCCAGCCACACTTATGTTCCTGGGATTGACTCAGCCTCTTAACAGAAATGAGTACCAGGAATCTTCCTGGGGGTAAAGGGTGACCAGCACATGAGGCTGGCAACCTTGCCACCATTTGTGAGTTGATTGTCTAGAAGAATGTGGGAGCATCAGTGTCTCACAACCCTGTGGGCCTTCACAGCCTGTTACAGGGATAATGTTGCCATTTTCTTTATTTTGCTAGATGGAGGTAAGTGGTTAGCTTCATGCTCCAGATAGGAGGCTGAGTTGGTCTCAGAGACAGTCTGGATGCTGTGTAGAAGAAAAAAGTCCCTACCAGGAATCAAACCTGACTTCCCCAGCCTTCCAACCAAGCATAATAACTATATTGATTGAGCTATGCCACCTCTTGTGCATACAAACTTTGACAAAATTCCATAAATTTATTCCAGAATTATCAGAAAGAAGAGACACACAGACATACTGTATTTATGCATGTATAGGCCGCACATTTTTTGCCAAAAATTCAAGAGGAAAACTGGGGTGCGGCTTATATTCGAAATATTCGAAATCACACTTCATTTAAAAAAATTATATTCATAATTAGTAATAATTACTAATACTCCTGAAATAATATTCCAAGAAAATTATTTTTTCTATAATTTCTGTCTGAAAATTGTGCTGTGGCCTGTACACGCACGCGGCCTATACATGCGTAAATACGGTAATTTCATACACCTATCATTCTTTATAAAATAAAGAGAATTGGTTAAATATGAACAGACCAATTACTTAAACTTACTCATTATTGGGAATTTTCCATTTTATCATTCATAGTTAAGAAACATAGCATTTTGGAAGCTAATTCTGCCTCCATGGTCCATTAAAAGTATGAAACCTACTCTGATGGTCCGCTAGATAGACCTAGTATCTATTACTGGATTAGCTCAATCTGTTAGACCCAACAGAATAGGTTTCATACTTTTATCAGGTGATGGAAGCAGGGTCACTTTCTGAAACAGCATGGCTTCTAACTAAAAACAAGTCAATTGAAAATATCCAACATACACATGTGTCAGTTTTCATATACCTTTGTCACACACCTTTGACTGAGATATTATTTGCTGCGTCCTGAGTATGGGAGACAGCACACCTCTGCTTCTATATGCTATGTGTGTACCTGGTAGTATTGGCTCCTGCTGTATATGCTTCAGAAGTGTACCAGACAGACTGTTGTTGCATTAGAGCCACAAGAAACAGTTCTGTTTGAATGTAGTTACACTTAAGATGCATTTTATTTGTTTTCACTTTTCATCTTGTTGCTGTTACAAAATGTAATCATTTACATATTTTGATTTTTGCCTTTTTTTTTCTCCCCCTGCCTTTGTGATTCCCACATGCATGTGTTCCCAGTTTGTTTCCTCTAGAGATGCACCCAAAATTCTGGAGCCTCCCGTGGTCCCTGTAGATGCTGCCATTCCCCTCACCAGCCCTTTCTGTAAGGTAATGGACAACTCTGAGGTAGACAGTGAAGGGAGTCAGACTACCCTTCAGCCAATGAAAGAGTCCTGCACTATTGGAAGCGATATCTCCAATGTGTCTTCTCATCCTAGTCCTGATGTAGAAGAAGCTGAAGAGACAATTGTTGCTCCCTCCAGCCCTCTTAGACAGCCAGAATTTAAACCAGAATACTCCGAGGCAGTTGTGGAGTTGCCAGCTAAATCTCCATGCAGTGAACAAGAAAGACGTAGAAGTAGTCATTCATGGAAGGGGTTCAGCCTCAAGAAACAACTGAGTCGAGTAGATCAGAAGTTCAAACACACGTTCTCAGGTGCCCCGCAACCAACTTATGCACCATGTAGTACCAGTCACAGCAAGGACAAGCGTTCATCTGTCTTTTATTGCTCTTCATCAGATATGCCATTTACACATTCTGTAGTTAACCCAATTGAAATTGAATCCCCTTTACCAGAACCTTCAGAAGAGAGTGAGAGTAAGGGTGCTTTTACACCAGACTGTACCCAAACAGAGCCCCAGGGGGATTTTGCTCTGTGTGGTACCATAGCAAGTAGTGTAGATATTAAAGAACAGGAATGTACAGATGAGCTTGCTGGTCAAGAAAGTACAACCTCACAAGTATTGCTCAGTCCTGTGGAGGACAGTAGGAATGGAAATCCTGAAACTGATGAGGCTGTTAGTCATACAGAACCAACCAGTCCCATGCAAGAGGAAGCAAAAGAAATTTGTGAGGCTGTGATTATAAAGAAGGTGAACAGACCTATAGACTTACCACTGTTTGACACGGACGGGAAACCTGTCAGACCACAACGCCGTGAATCAAAAAAGAAATCCATGGATAAGCGAGAGGGACGACTGTTATCTGTCCCAAACATCAAGTACAGTAGATCTGATCACTGGCTCCGTGACCTCCGAAGTAAAGAGGATGCTTCATCGAACCAACCTTCTTTTGGAAATCTGATGCGTCGTCTCAGTAAGTGTGCACACAATGGGTTTCACTGCTACACCTTCCTGTTTTGTTCCTTGCTCTGAAGTAAGCAGCAAGCACTTAGAGAGTCTGTAGTAATTTGATATGAATGACTGAATGAATGACTGTAAATATGTTTTGGATGATGTAGTGTATTATAGTGCGGTGCAGTAGTATAAGAATGGTTGTGAAGCCGCTAATCAGTATCAGGGAATGGTTAATAGCATCTACCCTTGATCCTTCAGTATCCTCATGCTACTTTTATTTTATTAACTGTACTTTTATTTTATTTTCTTGTTCATTTCTTTGTACACAAGTTAGTTCCTTTTTATTCTTTTATTTTCCAGCTATATGATTTCCTTTCTTTGTTCCTTTTAAGTCTGGAGCTGATACTAACACTTGAAAGTTATGTCACTAATCTCAGTTGATTAAGCAGGTTACTAATGTGAGTTCACTTACTTTCAGGACTATATCTGTAAGGTGTATTCAGTCACATCACTAGTCACTCTTGTCCAAGCACTCGGTTAGATATATCTGTACACCTGTTGCTTTGACCATTCAATAAAATCTGATATTCCATTGCACTTGAGATCAATTTGTTACTTTTACTTATTCCTTCTTGTTTTTATTTAAAGGATTCAGATGGAGACCATAGCTGCCTTAAATACCTTTTCGGTATAAATGTGTTGGTAACTACTAGTTAGAAGTTGTGGCTTTGGTAGTTAGCTGCCACGTATTTTGTGTAGGAGTGCAAAAGAAAATAACAGAGTGTCAGTGTTACAGTAGAAGATACTATTTCAGCCATACAGTTATTTTCTGAAATGGAATGCAGATTGCATAAGGTTGGGCTACCACGTTAGCATATGTCTTCAATCACATACTGTGTATTTTATTTGTAAATTGAAGTTGTACATGTTTTCTTGAGATTAGTGCATTAATATTTTATTTCACAATGCTTGTATACTTAATTTTAATATATTTTCAGAATGTTTTCTAGGCCAGTAACTAGCACACATAGTTGTGTTCTGTTATTCAAAATATCAGTTTTGTATCATTAGATTTTCATGTTCCTTATAGGCATTTTAGTTAGATAGGAATGTAATAACCTTATGTATATATTTTATGTTGAAGATAAATGCTAACAGTTGCTTTAATGACTAACCAGTAACAAGGCAGGATTCCTGCTGTACTACTCCATAACAGATATACTGACCTGCGCCCCCCATTTGTAGATAAACGGTGTGTGCGTGTCCCCAACTGCGGGCAAACAGAATGTAGGTGCTGGCAACACTTGTTCCCCGCGCGCCAGGCCTCCTGAGCCGGTCAGGCGCTCAAAGTCCCAAGGTACCCGGAAACTCCAGAAGTGTATGAGTACAGCTTCATACTCGGAGCCTGAGGGGTCAATGGGTTCGGGGCCCTCAGCTTGGTCATTGACATCAACAAGCATTGGTGGTTGTGGTGGTGGTGGTGGTGGTGGTGGTGGCTTATTTACCCGCTCTATGGCGCCAACTGAATCTCGCACTGGTGGCAGCTCCCACAATCTCCTCGTTACCCGGCAATATTGCAGTTTTGGTAGTACAGTCACCTACTTATTACAGTTTCCATAGCTTTTGTAAGTAATGCCAATAGTGCTAGACATGGTGATGTCTTGTAGCTGCATACACATATGACACACCCAGAGAGCCCTGGTATTCCAAAACATCAGTCTACCACACAGAATTGATAGTGTAACATATACATACATTTCTGATTGACATACTAAATGACTTTGAAAGCAGAATGAAGCAGTAAATAACACTTAAAGATTAAGTTAACTAAATACTTTAAACTAGATGTAAATGTAGTTGAATATTCTGTGTTTTCAGCCACACTGGCCTGTACTGTAGTACTCTCAGTAATTATCACTTTTCCATACCTCAGAGGTATTTACTATGCCAAGTTGTTGATATTATAGCACTCTCTCTCTTTCTTTCAGCATGAAGTAGAGAAATGGTGACGTACTATCCAAAACTTCAACTTGATACTTGAGTCCTGTGGAATCTCAAAATCTGTATAACTATAGTACCATTATCTCATATCCACCCTGAAAATTAAGCACTTTTGTCCAAATATTGATGGTCCCACAGAAAGAGTAAAGTTCTTCAGTAGTGTCTTTTTCTGAAAACTGTCTTATGACTTGCTTTCCCATCACTTTCTCTACTCTGTCCACTTACAGTAGATTCTCAGATTTAAATTACATTTTTCTGTTCATGAAAATTATAAGAAGGAATTCAAAATTTATTCAGTTGCCATTGCTTCACTTTTCTCTGTTATCAGTATGCAAGTGGAACTGTTAAAACATTTGTTCCTGATATTTTGAGACACAATTTTTAAAATGTGGAGTTGTTCATGAAAGACCTAAAATTTATAAATAAACTAAAATGAATTAAAAACTGGGAAAACCATTTTATTCCTTTTGCTGCTGCAATAAATCTGAAGAATTTAAAGTGCAATTAAAAGCCACATCACCCATAAGTATTATTTTATTGTTATTTGTATAATTGAGCATTGTTTTCCTAATGCTCAGCATACTTACAGATATTTATTAAGTTCATTGTTTTTTTAAGAACATGATCATTCTGTTGGATGTGTCTTTTGGACCCCGAACCGCTATGACTTATTCACTCTTCTGCTATTTGACTGTAGATTAATTATGTTCCTCCTCTTGCATGCCTTCGTGCTTGCATGAAAGTGCTGTTCTCGTTTTCCACTTCAGTTTTGTGGCTCTGTGTTCTTTTTGTGATAACTTGTGCAGGTTTCATTGCATGATTGGAATTTGGCAACTGAGGTCGGCGCACTGCTGAGTAATGTATCTCTTCCTTAAGAACCATATGCTAAGAGGATAATGAAAAGTTTCTGTAAGTTCTTTTGTTCTTCTTGCAAGGTTTGAAAATTTTGCTGTGGTGAGTATCAAGATTATTGTCTTCTAGGATGTGACACCATGTAGTTTGGTAGGTAGATACTAGCATTTCAGAGGAACTTTCTACACTGAACTGAACTAATTATGTGACACCAGAAGACCATACTCAACAGACAGTTATTTCTTAATTTGTTTTTTGTTTAGTGTTTTATATCATGTTGGAAAAGACATATGAAATATGCTAGAGGTTCCTCTCACTACAGATATTCATATGCAGTCCCCTCTCCCACAATTATATATTGTATTTATACTCCAAAATGCCTTATGAGCATAAATGATCCCTTGCATCAAGATCATTGTGGTTCCCCATCTAAAATTAACCCAGTGATACTTTAAATGACCTTATAATCTTATTTAAATTCCCAGGAAAGTAGAAGTACCTGGAAATGGTCAAGCCACACTCTTGAGTAGGTGTTTGGTCTGACTTTGCCCATGAGTTATGCTCATTATTAATACACAAAATGGGTTACTTATTGAGTATCTGGTCATGAAATGGGCTTCTGTGTTGTGATATTGGAATCCCTCAAGTGCCTCACACACAACATGTGAGGTTGTTTCCTCTTCAATTAGACATCCAGTGGCTTGAGCTTGAAGAGATATGTCGTAAAGTATTCTATACTTCTTCACTTCAGATCAGCATGTTTGCAATTTGGTGATCATTAGGATGCCTGAAGAAGGTACTATGGGAGCCATTAAAACTGTAGAAAGAAGTGAGCAACAGAATGATGCATCCATTATCGTGGCAGTAGTTTCCAAAGTGTCTCTCTCCTTAAGTTTCTAAATAAAAGCTCATGTGGGAGATGTGCTGGTGTAACAATGTAGATTTGTCTCAAAAATTAGAAACATTAAAGAAGTTATGTGGTTTCAAATCATCTAAAAAATAACAGGAGGTACATTCTTTCCCACTTCATGTTATATTGTAGGGCGTAGAGCCATTACTATACAATGACTGTATGATAGGCAAATATGCTCGAGACGTTTCTTGGTAATGGCTTCGTAAACACATTCCTACAGCAACCACTCAATACACAGCAGTACAGGGACTGTTGGAAACAGGGTGTATCTATGTGGTCCATGCCAAGGAAATATCTTGAAGACAGTTGGGGTGACCAAGTGAGTTCAGTTCTGTATGGGAATCTGTGAAGAGAGGACTTGAGCCTAGAGGCTGAGGAATAGCCATTTTTGGAGCTGTTACCAGGAAATAACAGACTGAGAACACTAGACTGTCTGCTCTAGTGAACTGAAAAGTGTGAAAATAGTGACAGCTGTTTGTAATTACGACTTGTAAATGGTCAATAAATCCATTCATAATCCATATGACGTCTATGGTCACACATACAACTTGACAAAATGTACGTTTGATTGCTTCAGTTGCCTGTTTCAGTATGGTGTCCGCTTGCAAATTTAACTCTGAATAAATACAGTAAAATGACACTTATAAAACCCATTGTCCATCTGATTGTCAGAATGTAGAAAACCTTGAACAGATAAAATATTTTATTTATACCTTTAAACTGGATTTGTATATAATACATTTCTTTTTTACTGTAGAAAACCTGAAAGTTTAGATGGGCTTGGGAACAGCAGATAGAAATAAGATTCATGATGAAATCAGAAGCAGAATAAATTCTTGAATTGCATGTTTTTATTCATCTCAGACTCATCACTGCATGCATTTTCCAAAATATTAAGAATGAAGATATGTATGTTAAACAATTTTCCACTTGTTTTTTATGGTTAAGATATGTAGTCTCTTGTTATGAGATAAGAAAACAAATTGCAAAGATTTTGGAAACAGAGCGCTTTGTAACATACTAAGGTATCAGAAGGATGTCATAAGTGGGCAGTTTAGTATATTACATAACAAAGACTTCATGATTTACAGAGGACACTCTGTGTTGTTACAGTAACGAAACCAGGAGGTCATGGTGAACTGGGCATTTGGCTCATTTAGCTCATGTAGCTCAAATAGTGGAAATATGGATGGTGAGACCTTTTAGAATGTAGTTGTTTAGGAGTTGGTAGGATGAGCTAGAATGACAACTTA